GCTCCGCACTGCCCTGTTCACCCCTCCGTGCTGCCGCACTTCGTGCCTTGAAACCACCGCGGAGCCGCCGGCCAGCCCGCTCCAAGCCCACAGCCACCCCCGTTCCCCCCCTTTTTTTGGTATAAACTCGCAGTCCGTCTGTGACCAAAACGACCGAATTTCAGTAAAAGGCACGCCCAGGGCCTCCGCAGAGCAGCGTTCCTACAACGCCCCGGTGCCAGCGCGGTTGGGAAATGAGGCGCGCACGTCTCCCGACCAGCCCTACAGCTACGTCAAACATTGCACAATTCTCCCATGAATATTCACTTCATTTCTTTTTCTTCAAAGATGAAGTGGTTTTAGCCATGCTCAAACCTCGTATTTGCTTTTCACGGGCATTTGCGTAATCAAGTTACATTGGCACAAGCGTTTGTACAAACCAGATTTCAAAATCTGACATTGAAGTATTTGTAAGATCAATTTTGATCCTTTGTCGAACCCTGCCATGGGTTCGTTACCTGATGCATCCCCTGAAAGCTGCTTGATATAAATCCATTTTCAGAAGAGCCAATCTCTAGGACACTAAAACCAAACAAAAGGACATCTGCACAGATGGGCTCCTACACTGACAGCAAGCACAGACCAAGTTTACACACAAAGTTCCATGTCGGGCTCATAACTACTACAGAAACATTTGCAGTTTTCTGGTGGAGATACACTACAACTTCGATGAAGGATCAGCTGCTTTTTGTGATTATTCAGCAAAGGAGATTTTTTTTCTTTTAAACCCTCAGGTCCAACAGATTTTAACCTTTGTGTCTCCTGATGGGCAGTTGTGAAGGGGTAGGAGTGTGCAGCGGGGGAGAGACAGAAAGCTGGAGCTGACCCCCACGGGTGAGGACAAGGGCATCGTCTCTCCAGGCCACCTCTCTCCTGCAGCACGGTGCCCCCAGTTCCTCAGCCACAGCTGCGCTCTGACCTCACTGCTGGAGGTCGCAGAGCACAGAAGGGAGCAAGTGCTGCCATGAGAAGCACTAATGAATCCTTTTTGACATGCTGCCGGAGCTGTGTCACCTCCCCAAATGGCTGAGGGTGACACCCCGACCCCCATGGTACATCTGCTGCTCCAAGTGTAAGTGCAGGACCTGTGTCAGCACTGAGGGGAAGGAATGGACCAAATACCTCCTCCAGATCCCTTCCTTCCCACCACACACTGTGGCTTTAGTGGAGGAGTAACTCTGAGATGTTCAGGATTCTTCTGTCTGCTAAAGTCAACCAGGGACAACCAGAAATATTGCACCAGGACCGACCCCTGCCATATGCTGGGGATTATCTCCAAGGGATAGACACACAGGACAGGCATACAAAGGTAGCTGGTGCAGAAGGATGGATCTGGAATCATTATGTCTAATACAGAATATAAAGGGGTAGTTTAACTAGCAGTTAAACTAAACTGTTTGGTGTCCCCATAGCTTGAGCCAAGATTAGGCTTTGTAGACTTGATCCCTGCAGGCCAAAATCTGTGACCTCCGGGCAGCCCTGCAGCACCAGTACAGTTCTGGACAATTCTCCCTCTCCAGCTCAGTGCTTGAGCCTCTGGTACAGCCATTCTTCTCCAGTCCAGACCTCCCAGAAAGACACCAACATCATGTCACCCTGCTCTCCTCACTCTTTCTTGAGAGATTACCCTAAGGTGGTCAGCTGTTCTGCAAGCAGTTTTTGTTCTGTGCAATAGAAAAGGGTGAATGTGTTCTATAGTGGATGTTTCTAGAAAGGTCAGTTGTTTCAAGCATGCTCTGACAAGAGCTACAGCAAAAAAAGAACCTGGAGTTGTTTAAATGCATGCATGAGAACTTTAGATTCATAGCTTAACGCTTTAAGAAGTTCATAGAAATGACAAAAAAATACAGTGATTATTCACAAAGCGTTTGGTCACTTTTTTGCTTGTGTTAACAGTGGGATTCACATAAAAGAACTGGAACCTCATTTAGCTTGGCAATATTTAATGTCTCATGTACTAGAGGAGCCATGCTTGTCTCACACAGTGAAGAATTCAGAGGGCTGAGCTCACATATAAGGTCTTTCTTGACAAAATTTTCTTTTAAAAGGGCCTTACATTCTCAAATGAGGTCATGTTCTAGGAGTCTAATGCTCTCCCATTTTGACTTGAACTAAGCTTGAGGCAGAGGACTCTATATGATTTTTAATGATTTAAACATGGCCTTTCAGTATGACTATACTCACTGCAGCAGGCCCGGATGCCATTCTCACGAGCAGCATATTTGCTTCTGCAGCAAATTTCACATAAATCAGGAAAAAACACAACCCCCAAACCAATCAAGGTCTGTATATAACTCATCTGAAAGGAACGCTGGGGGTTTGCTACTTCTTCTTACCTTCATACTTGGCAACTATTCGAAAACACAGTTCCAGGAACACAAGAACTAATGAAGACTGCTTTCCTATGGATTTATGCCTGTGATTAATTACTCTAAGGTAAGAGCTCTAATTGAAACTAGTCTCATGCCTGGAAACTTATGTCTCTGACTTATGTGGATTACTGGTTATCAGTACAGAATGCTGTTTTCTTCTGGTATCTACACACTTGGAAACATTCTCAAAATGTAGTGACTGTGAGATCTGATAGATTTGATTGACATGAATTGGCTATTCTAAAGCTGAATGGCAGAATGATCCCGTTATGCCATCCTTCCACAGGGAAGTGAGAAAGGCAGAACACACTGTACTAAACTCTGGTGGTTTTACCACCTCTTGTTGATGGTAAAGCCTCTGTGAAGAAACTATTCCTACACTTACTCAAGTTTATTAGAAAAAGCCATAACACAAGATGGCTATTAAAAACCTAACAACACCTTACAGAACATTTCTCAGACTAGGAAATTAGCCATTGTTCTCTTCTGTCAAAATAAATTTTAAATTTGTAAATTGTACAAAATTTACAATTGTAAAATTATTTCAAACACAGAAAAGTGAATTTGGTATATGTACTGTTTTTTTTTTTTCTTTTACATATTAAACTCTTTTTGGTTTTGAGTTTTTTATCAACATACCCACTCTTCCCTTTGGAAGTCCTGTTTTGTCAGCTTGCACAACTCCAGGCTGAAGTTGCATTACTTTTTCTTGATTTCCTCTCCAAATCTTGTCTGTAAATGGAACATGAAAAATAGTATAAACTGTTTTCTTTGCTGCAGCATTTTACTATCGCAGTACACCCTTGCACTTCCCACTCCTTGGGAAGCTCCATGGGGACTTTCAAATACAGCATACATGGGGATACAATTTCTCTTTAATTCTGGTTTTACAAAAAGTCAATCACCTGTATCTTCTATTACTCTTCCCTAAAAAGATGACAGTTGAAATTACTCAAATGTTTCCCTAGTAATGCAAAGCAGCTGCTAGCATTAGGTTTTCCTGTTGACATGTTTGTCATGCATGAACATTTACCACAATAATTATTCAAGTAATAAACCACTCATATTTGGGGAATGTTGGACAAGCAAATGAATATTGGCTTTTTTAAAGAAAGAGCAACCATATAAACTGATGAAAAATCATGTCAAATAATGAAATTTTTGTATTTTTCACTAGGTTTTTTTTTTCCAAAAAAAGCACTACAAACTAAAAAAAGCACTAAAATAAGTCTCTTTCCTGACAAATTATTCAATGGGATTTCACCTCTCGATGAAAATTCCTTGGAAAAAAAAGGAAAACTTATC